AGCCTTACCACCCGGATCCACGAATTAGCCACGGATCTTTCTGAGGCCTTGAAGGCTGCTACGGCATCTGGGGAATTCAATGAGACGTGGGCGATGGTTGAACGCATGAGCTTCCACGATGCTTTCGAAGTCCTTCTACAAGCTCCGAATTCTTCTTCTGACTGAAGTGATCGCCCGTTTGTACATTTGGTTTTTACAGGTTCACTCTCACTGGTGTATTGCCGATTCCGCCAGCGAAGTTCTTCCAAAAAATCCAACCTCGCTATATGCGAGGTGTGTGTGTGTACCATCTGAACAGATGTAAAACTTCTGATTGGTTTTCACTAGTTTGCAGGGGGCCAGGAACCCATGACTGTCTGTCCTGGCCAACGAAGACCAGACAGCATGGGGGTGAAAACGTACCTGCGAGTTTTTGAACTGTTGCTCAAGCTGTTACACTGCGTTGTTTCGAATCTACACGGTTGCCACAATCTGTATTGCCTGCATCAGAACCTTCCTCAGATTTTCGCCGAACATATCGCCGACAGTATTATGATTTTTTGACATGTTTTCGCCGAGATCATGTCGCCGACGAACCTTGGGTCATTTTGGGAAACAATCGCCGAAACATTATTTTGGATTTTCAACATGCTGGTCAAAACTCTATGGAATCTGGTTAAGACTACGTTTGACGATATCGGATGCCCTACATCGTTTTCGAGAAGTACCTCATGTGGCTCTTTTATTCATCAAATAATTTAGGCTGGTTTGCATGTTTCAGGATTCAGTTCCTGCCGGATCATATAATGATCCATTCTTGTCTAGTGTGTGAGCGGGTGAGCGGGTGAGTGAGTGAGTGAGTGAGTGGGTGGGTGAGTGAGTGAGTGAGTGCGTGCGTGAGTGAGTGAGTGAGTGAAGTGAAATGAAGTGAAGTGAAGTGATGTGAAGTGAAGCGAACTGAGTGAGTGGGTGAGGGAGGGAGGGAGGGAGGGAGTGAGGGAGTGAGTGAGTGAGTGATTGAGTGTGTGTGTGTGGGTGAGTGGGTGAGTGGGTGAGTGGGTGAGTGGGTGAGCGAGTGAGCGAGTGAGTGAGTGAGTGAGTGAGAGTGAGAGGGAAAGGCGCGGTGTGTCGTTGGGAAGGAAGGTTGTCGTTGATGTGCACGGCCTCCCATTAACGTCCCCACCACCGGCCAACGTGGTGTCGGCTCGACCGAAGCCGAACCGTTTGGTAAGGACGAAGGCATCGACGCCCTGGCGTACCTGCAGACCGAGAATGAAACAGGACTGAAGATGAACCTGTTCTTTTCCTTCCATCGCAAATGCCCGGAGCTCAACGTACCGGAAAGAAAGTTCTTTCATCATCATCGAATCAGAAAGCATCTTCAATAGTGATTTAAATGACGTACAGACCTCACGGTGACCCCGGCTTCCAAGCCCGCTGAAAGCAAAATTCTAAAACAAAAAACTCATCATCAAAACTCCCTCAACTGGAGCTGCAGACCAGAGGCAAGAGCCTGCCTTGGAGTAGTTGCTCGCAGAGGTGCTGAGTCAGGCGACGAACCGACCTGCCCCCCGCCAAGGTGGGGGAACTATCCTATCCCCTGGGGTATTATAGGAGCGGGCTATATTTAGATAGGTTTTGTAACAGTGTCAGCAAATCGCTAAGGTTTTCAAATCGAAATATGCCATAGATGTAAAACAACGATTCGACGATATGCACCACATCACGATACGTGACCAAGTGTGTAATGCCAGATGTGGCAGCAGCCTATCGCTCTCTTCCCCCCACCAGTGCCCGGGGCCCTGGCCTGACGAAAACGCAGATGCAAAGAAGCATCACAGACCTGCAAAACTTTCATGGTCGGTCGGTGGAGCGCATGGAAAGTGAGTGACGGTGAGTGAGAGTGAGCGAGTGAATGAGCGAGTGGGTGAGTCAGTGAGGAAGAGTGAGCCAAACCAGATTGAAGTCTACAATCTCCACAGAGAATATCACACTGAGATCCCAGCTCGTGAAAACACTGGAACTGTCCAGCTCAGTGATCCATCGGAGCCTGTCCGCTCGAGTCCAGGGTCGTGGCCTCATGACAGCGGAGATGCATAGGAGCATCACAGACTTGCGCAATTTTGAATCATGGCGACGCAGCATGCAACCAGAAGCCATGCTAGACTCGCAAACAATCAGACATGTCGAAATGCCTTGCTTTTTTTTCTGCGAAGTCGACAGTTCACCATCCCGCCTCCGGCAACAAAACCAAGTAGAAAGTTGTCATCGGTGGCTGGTACACGGCCATACTACCGAGAGCGTTACCAACACCAGTTCTAAAAAGCTGCGATCATTCAAAAGTTCACACACTGCAAGCTCGGCGTTTGCAACCTAGTCTCCTACCTCACACATGGCACCGCTGCGCTATGAGTAGAGTAAGTTTTGACAAAAGCACTGTGGTACTAAGTATTGGGGACCCGGCTTTGTCAACTGTCATCAATCGGACACCTGCCACGTATCTATGACCATCACCCATAGCTGTTTTGGTTTACACCTGGGTATCCAATTCTGCCACCTCTTCTGTCGACAGCTGCACGAAGGCCTGCGTAGTTCAAAATTTTATGATGAAGAAAACATCTATTTTAATGTAGCTCACTTATATTTTAAAGCATCTTCATTATTATACTATTGATGATGATGATGATGATGATGATGAGGATGCTGATGATGATGCTGATGAAAATAATGGAAAAACCGGATAAGACCATATTGTAATGATTCGTTTCAGAAATTGAACATCATTGTAATCATACCATGTTATCTACCCAGGCACAGCTCGTCGCTTGTCGTGATAAGCCATGTCGCCAAGATTGGCGGGACCATAACCTGCAAAAAGCGTCCAGCTGGCCAACCATAGGCTACACGCCGCTAAACAACATCAGAATGGTGTAGAACTGCCAGACTCACAAGTTTGCAGTCACCAGTCAGTTTGCCAGAAACCTACGTCCGTTGGACACGTTGTCCTGATCTTATGATTTCTTCTACATCGGTTTGCTATTTTCCAGCTATCTCCCATTATTTCTACAACAGTTGCATTTTCAACACTACAAGCCTCGTGAACACAGGTAGCTGTCCAAGGTCTAAAAACTAGATGCCTGTAACTCCAGGGAAACAACAAAAAGGCCGAACACGTTCTCATGATATTTTCTTACAGCTTACTTGCATGCTACTTCTCGCAGACTTCCCAACACAAGCAGCAAGCGGCTTGAAGCATCTGGAAATCTACGAAGTATGTGCTTCATCTGTGAAACTTAGCCACAACGTCCATACACAAAAAGTTACAGGCACCATGAGAATGTCTTCATAAGTCTTGTCGAAGACAAGCTCTTACAAAAGAGCGAAAACAACAATTGGAGGCTTGTAACGCTGTCATGAACAATCCATACCAAACAGCTCAACATAATAATACTTTCCCGGGACCTCCAGACAAAAAACAGCAAGTTGCTTCAAGCAGTTGGAAATCACTGCGAGCTATTCATTCATATCGATTCTTTCATCTCTACAACAGTTGCATTTTCAACATTACAAGCCTCGTGAACACAGACGTCGTCCAAGCGAAAAAGCTAGATGCCTGTAACTCCAGGGAAACAACAAAAAGGCCGAACACGTTCTCATGATATTTTCTTACAGCTTACTTGCATGCTACTTCTCGCAGACTTCCCAACACAAGCAGCAAGCGGCTTGAAGCATCTGGAAATCTACGAAGTATGTGCTTCATCTGTGAAACTTAGCCACAACGTCCATACACAAAAAGTTACAGGCACCATGAGAATGTCTTCATAAGTCTTGTCGAAGACAAGCTCTTACAAAAGAGCGAAAACAACAATTGGAGGCTTGTAACGCTGTCATGAACAATCCATACCAAACAGCTCAACATAATAATACTTTCCCGGGACCTCCAGACAAAAAACAGCAAGTTGCTTCAAGCAGTTGGAAATCACTGCGAGCTATTCATTCATATCGATTCTTTCATCTCTACAACAGTTGCATTTTCAACATTACAAGCCTCGTGAACACAGACGTTGTCCAAGCGAAAAAGCTAGATGCCTGTAACTCCAGTGAAACAAGAAATGCCGAACAAGTTCTCATGACGTTTTCTTACTGCTTATATGCATGCTAGTTCTCGCAGACTTCCCAACACAAGCAGCAAGCGGCTTGAAGCATCTGGAAATCTACGAAGTATGTGCTTCATCTGTGAAACTTAGCCACAACGTCCATACACAAAAAGTTACAGGCACCATGAGAATGTCTTCATAAGTCTTGTCGAAGACAAGCTCTTACAAAAGAGCGAAAACAGTTGGAGGCTTGTAACGCTGTCATGAACAATCCATATCAAACAGCTCAACATAATAATACTGTCCCAGGACCTCCAGACAAAAAAAAAAGCAAGTTGCTTCAAGCAGTTGGAAATCACTGCGAGCTATTCATATCGATTCTTTCATCTCTACAACAGTTGCATTTTCAACATTACAAGCCTCGTGAACACAGACATCGTCCAAGCGAAAACGCTAGATGCCTGTAACTCCAATGAAACAAGAAATGCCGAACAAGTTTTCATGACGTTTTCTTACTGCTTACTTCTATGGTACTTCTCGCAGACTTCCCAACACAAGCAGCAAGCGGCTTGAAGCATCTGGAAATCTACGAAGTATGTGCTTCATCTGTGAAACTTAGCCACAACGTCCGTACACAAAAAGTTACAGGCACCATGAGAATGTCTTCATAAGTCTCGTCGAAGACAAGCTCTTACAAAAGAACGCAAACAATGGGAGGCTTGTAACGCTATCATGAAAGAAGTCACATCAAACAGCTCAATCAACATACTAATGCTACATCAGTGTCAGTCAAAATAATATTTTTTGTACCTCTGGTGACAAGCCTCGTTCGACTACTCGAATTTCTCAACGACTGCTAGATTTGCAATACTCCAGAAGATATAAAAGTCCGGACAAAAAGAAACGAATCCTGAGCCGCTTGTATCAAGCTCCGTGGCCAGAACGTGCGGCAACCCCTGCACGACAAATGTTAGCTCGTTCTTGAAACTGAGCCACTTTTGTTCGAATTGCGGCTGGAGGCCCGAGTTCCAAGATCTCTCTGGGCGGTGCCCGAAGTAGTAGCATGTCATCCATCGTCGTCACACGGGAGACCATGATATATAAATGCAGCCACCAGTTCTCATCATCCATTTCAGGTAAACGCGCACAGTCAATGATGGTGCCTTCAGGAAGAGTCAGACCTTGCGAGCCAGTGCTCGTGAAAAAATTGGCATGCGTGATTCGGAAGCCACAGCGGCGCACATCATACTTCTGCGAACTATTCAGTTGAATCACCACTTCTTCTGCCGGAAGAAACCAAAAACTTTTCGCTAATCTTTCTGCCTCTTGAAAGTTCTCGATATGCGCTGTGCAACGGGTAAGTAAATCTTCATAGCCACAGCATCCTTGATATCCATCAACAGCCACCCAGAGACCCGATGGGAGATACTCCGGAGAAAACAACTCGCCGCCTTTGCATTGACCATACCGAGCCCGATCGTTGGAGTGAAATTCAAAGTCCATGATCGTGGCCAATGTGTCCTGCACCATGCCCTTATCTGCATCGAGCTTTGCCACCAGTCGGATCCGCATGCCAACATGACAAGGGAATAGTCCATGCATATGCCCCGTTTGATACGGGTTCGGCCGGTTCAAAAAACGAAAAGCAACGTTCCTTTCCAAACCCGATGCATTATCAGCAGCTTGCAGCAATACCAACGGCTGATCCGCCTGCGCTGCATCCAGCAAAGCTCGACGGTACATCATCCGCACCAGCGACGCCCAGTAGATCGACATGCAGTAGCCTCGCCGAAAACGCGGCAAGTTGAATCGTTCATCTGGATTCCCGGATGTAGTGTTGCGAGCACACCGCTGTTGAAAAGCATTCCAAATTGCGTCCGGCAGACGATGTCCCTGGCGCATGCATTGCAATAAGTCAATCAGAGGATCTCCTGGCTTGAACCGCATGGTGCCGCGCAGCTCAAAAACGTCTGGAATCTCCGCAAACACTTTCTGGGCATGCTGTACTTCTGCAGGCACATCAGCGTGTTTCCAGTTGCCATGCTCATCCTGCGCCATCAAATCATCCAACAAAGAGAGCTGCGCAGTCGGTCGCAATTGAAAGAAGTCGCCCAAGTGCAAAACAATCGGCACACGTCCGAAGGCACAGCCTGTCTTGGCATACGTGTTTGGATCCACTCCAAACACCAAGCGGCGACCAAGCATGGCGCGAAAGTCTAGCATGTTGTAAAGAAGAGCCGAGACCATGCTGATTTCTTCCACAACTAAGACACGCACAGAGCTCCACAGCTTCTGCAAACCTTTCTCGTTGGAGCCAGCAGCCATGTTGCTGTTGGTTATAGGCTTTGTACTCCGAGCAAGGATGCGCCGTGTAAGGTCTTGGCGCGGACAGTGTCAGTGGAAATGTTCTTGGCCTGCGCATTTTTGGCAGCAACAACCATCAAGGTAGACTGTTCTCCCTCCGAAGGCCACATGAAGTGCACCACAGGGAATACAATGTTCTGCACAATGTGCGTCTTGCCTGAGCCCCCTTGGCCGAGCAACAGCATGTGATAAACATGCCGCTTCTCTGGGGCAGTTGTGCTTTCTTGTGCGTACACCGTGTCCAACACCTCCGCAAATCTTTGAATGAAACAGTCCTGATCTTCGTTCAGTCGTTGCTTCGGCGGCAATGCAGCAACTAGATCTTTCACAAGATCGGAAGGTTTCTCGTAGACATTCTGAGCACTGAAGCGAACACACTGGGCAGGTAACCGTGGCAAAGCTTTCTTGAGAGATGCATGCGCAATTTCTTCACTGGAAGGCTGCTCTTTGTCTTCGTCGTCTTGCACCAAACCATATCGACACGATCCCAAAATGTCCGCACGTGTGTCCTGAGATGCAAGCACCCCTTCTCAAACCCAACCTTTTCAAAGCAACCTTCTCGAACGATCTACACCATCCCCTTTTTTTAAAAGAAACCAAAACAAACTTGTAGTCCCAAAAAATGGTTCTGGTCTCAGACGAAGCCACTGCATTCCAACTTTGGAGCTCAGCAAAAACATCATGCAGCGAGTGACGTGTTGAATTCTGAAGTTTGCATGCGTCGGCGAAAGGATCTTCCTTCATCCAGCTTTGTGCAAGGAAATCTTTCACATATTGATTGTGTCGAGCTTGAAATTGAAACAGTAGCAGTTTCTTCTGTTCTTCCATATTCGGTCGAAAAGATATCTTCTGAAAGACTTCATCAGGCCGAAGTGTTTTTTCTGGAGGCAGTTCATCATGCTCAGGATTGTCCCCAGCATCTTCGTCATCTTTTTCGCCCGCAGTGGTCACTTTCACGAACTCCTCCAACAACTCAGCATCAACATCCCGACTTCTCTTGTGACGTTGTTGCCGGGCCCGAGCCAAACCTACCGGATGTGGCTCTAGTCTAACACAAACGAATTAAAACAGTGTTACTCTTCGTCAAACATCTACTGCACAAAAACAATAACACAATAACACAATAAACATCAGCAAACAAAGGCGAAAGCAACAGACAGAAATCAAAGATCATCAGATTTTGCAACCCAGCCTTCCAAATGCGCAACTCGACTCTCTGCCAACATGGAAGAATATTGCTCAACAGTTGCTCGAGGCTTCTCTCGATCCGGATCTAATATCGGCTGCGGCAACTCTTCGCCCATGACCATTTCCAGTTTCCATCGAAGAGCCTCAACCATTTCTTTTGTTTCCCACAGAGAAGGATATTCAAATCGAGCTGCAAAACGATAACGAGCCGTGGCTGCTTCCTTCGTCATGTCTTCTTCCCATTCCAGATAAGCTCGTGTGAAAGCAGTCGTAGCTGCAACGGAATTGTCCATGCCTGCTGAGCCCTTGGTAGGAGATGAAAAAAGAGCAAAAGCTTTCAACACCAACTCCTCCTGGCTCAGTTCTTCGCCGGCGACAGGCAGAATGCGAGTTGGCCGGCATTGTATCTGCTTGTACATGGCATTCCGCTCGCTGTCCACAGTCAGAGGTGGCATAGTAAACCCTTCAAACATTGGTACACGAGGTTCTGAGCAGATCCGCTGAGCATGAGAATTGTAGAGCTTGTAAGCCGGATCAAAATAAACATCAACGTACCGTGCCAGGACGCCTCTGACCGACTTCTCCGGACGAGCAGGCAACTCGATGCGATAGACCCACGTGCCATAGGTCGCCCAACTCATTCCTGCCAGCAGTTCTGAGTCACCGCGATACAAATAATCCTCCAAACTGCTCGTACTGAGACCACAAAATGCAAATATTTGCACTTTAGGCACTTAATGAATTTATAAGTATACTATAAGTTACTATTATCCTTCTAATATCTTGTTCAAATTGTTTTTTCAAAAATATTTTGTTATAAGTTCCACTAAATTTTTAGGTGAACTTATAACATAATAAGGAAAATATAAGCAAATATAGTAGAATATTAGTCAAAAATAAGCCAAAATAAGCGAAAAGAAGTGATAAGAAGTGAAATCTGATTTTTATGTGTGCTTGATAGATTCGCAGGAATGTTGATTTTCGACGAAACAATGTCTCAGAGCACTACTTTTCTGACGAAACCTTCCTGAACAGGAATATGCTGCTAAAGAACAATTCTCTGAAGGCGCCTATTTGGAAAAAAAAATGGTAGGAAAAAAAAATGTAGGGACAATTTCTCTGCAGGATACTTCCTGAAAAGGAAAAATTGTGTGGGGAATAGTTCTCTGCAGGATACTTCCTGGAAAGGAAAAAAATTGTAGGGAATAGTTCTCTGCAGGATACTTCCTGGAAAGGAAAAAAAATGTAGGGAATAGTTCTCTGCAGGATACTTCCTGGAAAGGAAAAAAATGTAGGGAATAGTTCTCTGCAGGATACTTCCTGGAAAGGAAAAAAATTGTAGGGAATAGTTCTCTGCAGGATACTTCCTGGAAAGGAAAAATTGTGTAGGGAATAGTTCTCTGCAGGATACTTCCTGGAAAGGAAAAAAATGTAGGGAATAGTTCTCTGCAGGATACTTCCTGGAAAGGCAAACATTTGTAGGGAATAGTTCTCTGCAGGATACTTCCTGGAAAGGAAAAAAATTGTAGGGAATAGTTCTCTGCAGGATACTTCCTGGAAAGGAAAAAATTGTAGGGAATAGTTCTCTGCAGGATACTTCCTGGAAAGGAAAAATTTGTAGGGAATAGTTCTCTGCAGGATACTTCCTGGAAAGGAAAAAAATGTAGGGAATAGTTCTCTGCAGGATACTTCCTGGAAAGGAAAAATTTTGTAGGGAATAGTTCTCTGCAGGATACTTCCTGGAAAGGAAAAAAATTGTAGGGAATAGTTCTCTGCAGGATACTTCCTGGAAAGGAAAATTTAGAAAATTCAGAAAATTCAGAAAAAATCAGAAAATTCAGAAAACTCAGAAATTTCAGACATTTCCGAAAATTCAGAAAATTCAGAAATTTCAGAAAATTCAGAAATTTCAGAAAATTCAGAAAATTCAAAAATTTCAGAAAATTCAGAAAACTCAGAAAATTCACAAAATTCAGAAACCCAGAAAATTCAGAAAATTCAGAAAAGTCAGAAAATTCAGAAAATTCAGAAACCCAGAAAATTCAGAAAATTCAGAATTTACAATTTAAATTAAAAGGAAAACAATTCAGAAAATTCAGAAAATTCAGAAAATTCAGAAAATTCCAGAAAATTCAGAAAATTCAGAAAATTCAGAAAATTCAGAAAATTCAGAAAATTCAGAAAATTCAGAAATTTCAGAAAATTCAGAAAATTCAGAAAATTCAGAAAATTCAGAAATTTCAGAAAATTTTCAGAAAATTCAGAAAATTCAGAAAATTCAAAAAATTCAGAAAATTCAGAAAATTCAGAAAATTCAGAAAATTCAGAAAATTCAGAAAATTCAGAAAATTCAGAAAATTCAGAAAATCCAGAAATTTCAGAAAATTCAGAAATTTCAGAAAATTCAGGAAATATTTATAGAGAAAAAAAAAAGGATAAGTAAGTATTTATAATAATGTCAAGTTAGGATTAATAATTCCCTGCGATTAATCAACCACCAAAATCTCAGCAAAAAAACCGTATGAACAAAGTATGCGAAATCAAAAGAAAGTAAATTGTAGAACAATATGAACAATAAAACATAAATAGCAATTATAGAAAATACATTTTCAAAACAAAAAGCAAGCCAGCTAGCTTTAAATCTTTTACCAACAAAAAATATAATAGAATATTTTCCAAATTAGGTATCCATCTTCATCCCTGAATTATGTAGTTTGGAAGTAGTAACCGAAGCCTCATGTTGTGAAAGATCTCATTCTGGGCAGTCGTATACAATTGAAGAAGACATATCAAAAGAGCAATTGTTCTTTCCAAGAAGCATCCTTTATATGTTTTTTTCCTTTTGCCTCTGAATGATTTCTCCACAGATGTACTTCAAGATTCTTTGTGTCACTCGCAGCCGCGCATATTCCTGTAGAAGAACCATTTCCTGTAGAAGATAACTCCTGAAAAGCATTGTTCCTGAAAATGAAATCAATCTGAATAGAAAGATTCCTGTTAAGGATAGTTCCTGAAAAGGATTCATTCTGAATAAAAAAAATCCTGAAAGGATAAGTCCTGAAAAGGATAATTCCTGAAAAGGATAAATCCTGAAAAGGGTGATTTCTAAAAGGATGATGCCTGAAAAGAATGAAAAAAAACAATGAAAAAAGGCAAGAAAAAAATATTCCAAAGGAAACAAAAAGGTCGACAACTATTTTCAAAAAATATATAACAGAAAAATGCATCGTCTATAATCAATTCTGATCATCAAAAAAACATTGAAAAATAAGTGAAAATAAGTAAAAATAAAGAAAAAACACTTCTATGATAAGTTCATATAACTACTAATATCTTCATTAAGTGCCTAAAGTGAAAATATCTTCATTTTGTGGTCTTAGTAGTAACAGAAAGGTACTGAGGCTGAGTGACGGTACTAACACCTGCAGTCACTGCGACATCCTCACCAGTTGCTTGCAATGCTCGCAAATTCGTGGCAGCACCCTCACCGTCGCCACTGCGATCCACATTTTCGGTGACACTATGCATCTTCAAAAGCTCCTCTGCAATCGACAACCTCTGTCGCGAATTGCGCTTCTGTGCTGCCTGCGCTTCAAACTCCAAGAACGCGTCAGCTAAATTCGTGCAAGCTTGCCCACCCGGTCCAATGTAGACATACGACGTCTCGCCGGTTTCATCATCAATGCGGGCAACTTTCCGCCAGCCGGCCAAAACCACATCGTCCACACCTGTTCTATGAAAAATCACAGGATCATTGTGGGCGCTCTGTGCATCGACACAATGGAGCACACTGTCACCATACTGTTTTCGCCAAGCAGTAACACAGAAAAAAATTGCTTTCTTCACAAACAGCTTCCAAGTACGATGCGACGCAAACGTCAAATGTTCGTACAAGAGAGGAAAAATCAATTCAGCCGCGCTCTTCCAATGACAACGTCTGTAGGAAGACGACAGGCGGGTCAACGTCTTCATCGTCTCAGAAAACATAACTCCACGACGTCCGGGAATGTGTTCACCTGCATCTTGTGCAGCTTGTTCTGCACGGCTCCTCTCCTCGTTGCGCTCCTCCCGCTCCATTTCCAAGCGCTCAATGCCTGTGCTTCGAACAGTTTCACTCCACAAACACACAACAACGCGAAACCAACAAAAAACGAGCGAAAAACACAGAAGAACAACCAAAACCAAATTCAATCCTGACTTGCATCATCTTGGTCCCGCCTTTGCGCAACTCCTCTAACATTCCAGCCAAGCCAGGACCAGGCTTCGTCGTGTAGCTGTTGATGTAGAACCCCCTATTGATTCCATCCGAAAAAGCGTCACTCACACCGCAGCGAATCGCGCGAACAAAGTCGCGCTCGGCAACATCATCTTCTGTTTGTGTTTTGTCCGTTCCCCCAGTGACTGCTTTCTCATGAGCTGCCAGCCAAGCTTTGCGAAAATCTTTGGCCAGCGAACGAGTCCACAACCATGATACTGGCTCAGTGGGAGATCCACCTCGTTCTTCATACTGTCCAGCAGCCCACTCATATTTGGCCATGTAACCCAATTGCTGCGTGAAGCCGACGTGCGGCAAAATGTCGCCCTGCTCTGTCCACAGCTTCATGTCCAAGACTCTTCTCATGTCTTGAAGATCCAGATTGTGTCGGCCAGCCACAAGACCACCAAAAGAAGTCTGACATTCGAATGGACTCAGCTGAATTGGGCGTAGACGTCCAGCCATTCCATATTCAACCTCCAATTCACTACCGACATGAACGCAAGGACGTAGGGCCTTGCCTTTCCGTCTGACTCTGCAACCTTCTGTAACATGCACCACATGGTAAAAACCGTGCCGACAAATACGAAATTGGGTAGAGCTCTTGTCCGAATACTTGAAGCACGAATCACTGCAAACGTGTCTCAGCAAGGCTGGTAGAAGGTTGTGCAGATCCTGCGAGATTCGTTTTCTACAACTTCACTTTCATGAATTCTTGCCGAATTCTAACACTTGTAACATCGCCATGTCAAATTTGCAAGACGCATCATGACATCGGCAAGCAAAGCGTCTAGTAAGGCAACACGTCGACATGTGAAATTAAAAACATTTCGCATTAAATTGACCAGACACATCAATTACATCGTTGCCTGTCTTCACATCAGACATCGCCATGTTACACATCTGCAAGACATTTTAGTCTCTTTGAAAAATCCAACCACATCAAACACGTGTGTACAAGTTATGCGCAGGGCCGCCTGCGCAAATGCCGTCTGCCATGCTCGCGCTTCTTCTTCTGGAGAAGCACCTTCGACCAGCACACTGCGCAAACGATATGCAGGCGTCTGTGCCACTGGCAAGCCATTGATAGGCTGTGTGAAAATGTTCTTGGTTGGATTGGGGGCCTCCTCTACCTGCAGCAACGGTCGGCGCCAGTCGTCGTCCTGAGCAGCTTCCAAAAAAGCGTCTTGCTCCGGAGTCCTCTCCAGCATCTCTCGCAACAAGTCCAAGTCACTGCCGCCATCATACTTGGACAAGTTGCGAGCAACCTTCGTGACAGAAACCGGCATCGAAAGGCTGGCGCCATCAAAGATTCGAGGCGCTGCTTGAACAGACGCATGGGACAACGATTCGAAGCTGGCCACAACCATTTTCATGAAGTGACGTAAGCGATGCTGCAATTCGGCCTTGTTATTCTTCAACATGCTGGCAAGTTGGCCTACCACCTCCAAATGGCCGCATACAAGCCAAACCAAAATATGTGGATGCAATGAGCCGCGGCCTTGAGCTTCGATTTCACCTCTGAAGGCAAGCACCGGTCCCAGCATTCCAGCGCCGGTAGAAGATGCAGCGGCGCCATCACTGCACCATTCCCGCGAGACCGTGCGGACCCCACCTCTGCGACAATCCAACGTTTCTGGTCGCACATTCAAAACATGTTGGAAAAATAATCGCATCAAGAACTCAAACTGTACCGTTTGTGCTACAGGATCTTGCGCAATCTTTCGCAGCATGTCTCTGTACTTCGGCAAAGAGGGGTCCATTTCCTGATCCACGGACCCAAGATCCACCTCTTCGCCTTGTACAACCAGCAGCAATGGATGCTGCGTGTCCGCCAGATTGGGCGTCAAAAAAATGAGCGGCGGCCCAAAAGTCTCCATGTAGGCGACTCCTTCGTGCCGGCACTGCCTGCGATGACCATCGGTACCCAAGACCGTAGCCGATGCGCTTTGCATCGCTTGCAGAGCATCCTTGACAGTTTTTGGCACACTAGTGTTTTGCAACAATTGCTGCATAGAATCACCAGAGGAAGGATCTACCACCCGTGCCGCAGATGACAAATCATCTGCTTTCAGAGCACTCAAAGTCTTGGCAAAGGCCATGCCACCATTCCGCAAAAATTGGTATGAAGCATTGCGCTGATCTGTCAAGCGACAAACAGTGGACATCATGTGCAACGCAATCCAATCACCACTGAAACGGTTACTCATTGCAGGAGCAACATCATCGCCGTCAACAGCATACTGCAACTCCTGCCATGTCGACAGCACACCGCCCCAAACACAAACCTCAATAATTCACCTACAACCACTCCGACATCTGTTTCTTACTGTGCTCTGAGAGCGGTATGTTAATTACATGCAATAAAACTACCGGATACTTCACAGTTCACAGTGTCACATTTGCAAAACGCATCACTGAAACCATACACACATATCCATTTGTCAAACGAAAGAAAAAAACCAAAAGCTTCGCCCCGTGCCTCTCGAAGCAAAAGACACGCCGCCCATTCTCGGGTGGACAGTGCTTCCTCACGATCAAATAAATTGCCAGCGTCACCATATCTCCAAAGCTTCGGCTTGGCCATCGTCCAAATCTTCCAGTCAAACAAACTCAGCGGCTTCTTCCCGCGAGCTACCAACAAATGCTTCGCAGCACGTCCAGAATCTGCATCCTCGTCAACCGGTTCTTCATGTGAAGTTTCGGACGGTAACAGCCAACGCGACCTGCCCATGACAGCATCTCTCAATTCCAGCTCTAACCTCCTGCGCGCATCAGCAGCAGATAGTTTCCGACAGGTTTCCTGCACTTCATCACAGAGTTGCAAGATACGTTGACGACCAAGATGATCAACCAGCGTTGTATCTTCTCCCATCAATGTAGCAAGCTCGACTGATACCGACCGAGCACCGGCCGATTCGAGTTCATCAATTTTCTCTAACAAGGACACAATCTTGCTGCTGACATCAGTTTTTTCTTCATTAAAATCTTTCACTTCCGCTTCCATCGCAAACACTGTTTCATCTTGCTGCACCTGCACGTGCTCAGCTGTGGCGTCCGCCGGCCCTTCTTGTCTCATGATGCCAGGGCCATCTTCACCAACAGGAACCGTCACCACACAATCCAGAACCACCGACGGAACTGCCTCTTCTGCATCTTGCAGCCATTCCGTGAGCAGCTCTCGATTGATTTCAGCCACGCCGGCAGCATAGACACCATTAGTTTTCTGAAGCGCTTCAGCTTGCTCAAGAAACAAAGCCTTCTTCAACCGCAACTCCACAATCTTGCTAACGGCTGCTCGACCAGCTTCTTGGCCTTCGTGCGTACGGCTCACATATGTTTTCACTTGCGCTGCACATACGCTTCACATACGCATCACATACGTTCCACCAACGTAAAAATCTATGTTTCATATGAGTTTTACATATGTTTTGCATGCGCGGCCACTTAGGATATGTATACGTACCCCCTCGTCAGCTCCTATAGACAGAAGCCCTGGAGGCTTTTGGGATTCAGCTAATTGATACCAGAATCAGAATTATTGGCCAGTAGCGTGTCAGTATCCGACAGTTTCGGACAGAAAGTGCAAGTGCTATTACACAAGCGTCGGGTGGACGGTGACATGGCTTGCGGCAACTGTCCTGCATCTGTTTGTCGAGATTGTTATTATGCATTTTCCCCAAAGCAACCCAAGCTGTGCAAGTTTTCGCTGGCCAACGATCTTTGGCTTGGGCGGCCTGATCCACTTCTTTTGCAGGCCAACATGACCCACGAGATGTGCCTTGCTCTAGCCAGAACTGTGGCGACCAAAGTTGTCCTCCGAGCTGGCGGAGCACAGCAGAACGGTTCCAGCAATGGCAATCAGTGGGATGCTGCTTTTCACCAGAGTGGTTATATTTCTAGTTCCTGGTGTTCAGGGTTTTGCTATGTATCTAGGGCTTTGGTTTTCCGCACAAACAACGTACTCGCTTTTTAATTTTAGGAAATATATGGAAATATACCATAAACAAACCGCAAGACATGTTTTTGGTAAGGTTTGTTCACCAAACTCACCAAACATGATATTTCAATTATGTGTTTCTTGTGTTTTACTTCTGTGGCATTTTGCGTGTTTCTTTAAAACGCTTGACTAAACACGTGTGCGTGTGCTACGTTGAACTGTGGCATTTGGTGTTCTTACTTTTTTGCCGTTTGGAATCGGAAAATCACACGCGTGTGATTATGAAACCGGCAGCGAAAGAACGCAGACCATGTGTTTAGGGGGTTGGCAGGCATATCGCGCAATTTTTTTTGATTGTGGAGCCCAGGGCGACATACTGCATACATATTTTTCGGGCAGCCGACATATGTATATGAAAATGTGTCTATATATAATGTGTGTTGCTTATGGGCGTTGCTTTCCCTTTATATATACATGTATATATATATATCGTCTGCACTGGCTTTAGTTAAGCGAGTCCCAACCTACAAGTGCCCAGGGGAAAGATGCCAATTTTTTACTTGGACGGATCCGTGCCTACAACTTCCCCAGTGTATGGAACCAATTATTGTTTTTATCTGAAAGGACCCGTGCCTACAAGTTCCGAGGTCTAAGGGATCAAATTTCTGCTCGAGGATCCCTGCCGACAAGTTCCTATGTGTAAAATGCCAAAATTTTTACTTGAGCAGACCCCTGCCTGCAAGGTCACAAGCGTAAGGTACCAAACATTTACTTGAGCGGGGTCCGTGTCGACAAGTGCCCTGGTGTGGGGTGCCAAATTTTCATTTGAGCGGGTCCATGCCTACAAGTTCCCAAATGTAGGATGACAATTTCTTACAACTTCCCAAGTGGAGGGAACCAAGTCTTTGCTTAAGCGGATCCACGTGTACAAGTTCCCAGGTGTGAGGTGTCAATTTTTTACAGGAACGAATTTGTGTCTACAAGTTCGCAAATATAGGATGGCAAATTTTTACTTGAACAAATCCCTCCTACAAGTTCCCAGGTGAAGGGCGCCAAATGGTTACTTGAGCGGATCCGTATCTGCAAGTTCCCAAGTGTATGGGATTTTTTAAACTTGAATGGATCTGCGCCTTCAAGTTCCAAGGGTTAGGTTTGTCAGGGTGTTTCTTGGCAAAAATGCAATCAAAACTTTGAAACAAACGGCAAGGGAACTGAAGGCTGCGAATGCCAACATGTTTTCAGCCCCCTTGAAAGAAAACAGGTGGTCATGGGCCCAAGATGCTTGAGCGTGTTTGATTGAAATATGTGTCCTTGTCGCGCCTTTATTCTTCAAGAAATGAAAAATTCCATTTGCAAATGGGTGTTTTTGCGGGCGCTGGCCGCCATTCCGATTTGCATCAGGTGGGCTGCGTTTGCAATGAGGATATTGCGCGAAGAGCACTGCTTGCAACAACAAAACTATGTATGTGACGAACACCATTTCCAAAGGTATAGTTTGTGAAGGGCCTCATTGCAAAAGGTAAACTTTTCCGAAGGGCACTGCGGAAATTGAAAGGGTGCTAGTTGCAATGTTTTTTGTTGCCTGCTTGATTTGTGAGGGTGCTGTTCTTCACAAAATCAAAGCAATCCAAGCCATCCTGTTTTGTGCCCAATGACGGCAGCATTGGGCACAAAAACTTGCTGTAGCAACCTGTTTTGGAAAAGAGCACGGTACACAAATGTTGTACTTGCAAAAAACGTTTCAATTGCAGGCGTTTTGTGCTTGATGGGGCTGTAATCCGGCACAAAACCTTTGGTTCGAAGGTGCTACTCGGCACAACACCTTTGGTTTGCAGGTGCTACTCGGCACAAAACATGTGGTTCGAAGGTGCTACTCGGCACAAAATTGTTGGTTCGAAGGTGCTACTCGTCACAAAATTGTTGGTTCGAAGGTGCTAGTTGGCGCAAAACCTTCGCGCGCTAAGACAAGTAGTAGGGGCCCACAAATTGAATTGGAAGGAGGGATCGTTCGTTCAAGTAAAAAATGAAACCCTACGTCTGGGAACTTGTAGCCACGGATCCGCTCAAGTAAAAATTTGGAACCCTACACCCGGGAGCTTGCAGACATCCGCTCAATAAAAAAACATGCGCCTTACACGATCTTACACCTGGGAACTTGTAGACGCGGATCCGTTCAAGTAAAAATTTCGGACCCTACATCTGGGACCTTGCAGGCCGAGATCCGCTCAAGTCTAACTTAAATTTGGCACTTTACATCTGCAGATTTGTGCAAAACAATCCGCTCAAGCGAAAATTTGCCGCCTGGGAACTTGTAGACATGGATCAGGTCCCAAAAAGATTGGCACCTTACACTTGGGAGCTTGCAGACGCAGATCCGTTCAAGTAGACATTTCGGAACCTACATCTGGGACCATGCAAGCTGGGATCCGCTCAAGTTTAAAAGTTGGCACCTTACACCTGGGCACCTGTGGGCAAAAATCCACTCCAGCAAAAATTTGCCGCCTTACTCCTGGGAACTTGTAGACAAGGATCGGTTCAAACCAAAATTTGACACCTTACACCGGGGAATTTGTAGAAAAAATCCGCTCGAGTAAAAAAAATGACGCCTATTACATCAGGAACTTGTAGGCATGGATCCGCTCAAGTGAAAATTTGGCGCCTTACACCTTGGACCTCGCAGGCAGGGATCCGCTCAAATATAAGTTTGGCAGAACTTGTGGACACAGGCCCGCTTAAGTCAAAATTTAACACCTCAGAGCTGGGAACTTGTGGACGCAGATCCCGTCAAGTAAGAACCTGGCACCTTCCACATGGTAACGTGTAAGGAGGGATTGTTCAAGTAGAATTTTGGTATCCTATACACTTGGGATGTTGTAGGCACGGATCCGCTCAAGTGAAAATCTGGTCCCTTGCGCTCGGAAAGTTGTAGACGCAGATCCTGTCCAATAAACATGTGACCCCTTATACCCGGGAACTTGTGGGCAGTGATCTGCTCAAGCAAAAATTTGGCAAATTTACCTTTGGGAATTTGCAGGCGAAGATTTGTTCAAGAAAAAACAACTCACAAGTTGATTTTGTTTTAAGGAAATCAACCACCCTCATACAACACATATTTTTTGGGGTTAGCCGCTCGAAAATCACATATGCGTAGTCCTCTCTTGGCCTCCAAAATAAGACAAGATTTTCCTCTTTGGTCGTCCAAAAGGATTAAGAACTGACACGCGTGTTTTTGTTTGTGGCTGCGAACCCCTTCAGGCATACATTTTTTCACGGTCCGAGGGGAAGAAGCAACACGCAAAATGCCACAGAAGTAAAACACAAGAAACACATAATTGAAATATCATGTTTGGTGAGTTTGGTGAACAAACCTTACCAAAAACATGTCTTGCGGTTTGTTTATGGTATATTTCCATATATTTCCTAAAATTAAAAAGCGAATACGTTGTCTGTGCGGAAAACCAAAACCCTAGATACATAGCAAAACCCTGAACACCAGGAACTAGAAATATAACCACTCTGGTGAAAAGCAGCATCCCACTGATTGCCATTGCTGGAACCGTTCTGCTGTGCTCCGCCAGCTCGGAGGACAACTTTGGTCGCCACAGTTCTGGCTAGAGCAAGGCACATCTCGTGGGTCATGTTGGCCTGCAAAAGAAGTGGATCAGGCCGCCCAAGCCAAAGATCGTTGGCCAGCGAAAACTTGCACAGCTTGGGTTGCTTTGGGGAAAATGCATAATAACAATCTCGACAAACAGATGCAGGACAGTTGCCGCAAGCCATGTCACCGTCCACCCGACGCTTGTGTAATAGCACTTGCACTTTCTGTCCGAAACTGTCGGATACTGACACGCTACTGGCCAATAATTCTGATTCTGGTATCAATTAGCTGAATCCCAAAAGCCTCCAGGGCTTCTGTCTATAGGAGCTGACGAGGGGGCACGTATACATATCCTAAGTGGCCGCGCATGCAAAACATATGTAAAATTCATATGAAACATAAATTTTTACGTTGGTGGAACATATGTGATGCGTATGTGAAGCGTATGTGCAGCGCAAGTGAAAACATA